TACTTCTAACAACTTATTTTTGGTAACTTTGGAACACTTTTTTTCACTCAAGTGATTTTAGTTAACCTGCATATATCACAACTTCTATCTGAAAAAATTAAGTTTGAAACATGCACATTTTTAAAAGAAAATTTATTTTAAAAAATGTAGAAACAGAAAGGAACCAGCCCGATGGTGCTGGTTTTGCAGATATTAGTCATCTACGCAGTCACTTTTATCTATTGATTGTACTTTCTATTTTATTGCATGAAAATATTCTTTCACTCCTCAGTATTCCAGAAGTTAATTTAGAGTGGAGTCAACGGTGACAGAATCACAGTATTAAAAGAAGAATTCCCTACTTGCTTTTCAAAACTTGAGCAATTTTCTAGGCACCAAATGATTTTAGTCTGAGAACTAACAGAACTTTTATGACTTCACAGTCTCCTATGATGGAATACATCATTATATTCCAATGCCATGATACCCAGCACTCCGACTTGCTTTTCTGTGTGAAGAGTGTCTCCTCAAACTTCCCTCACTTCTCTAAAATTTTGCAAAGGTCAATAGAGTGAAGCCAGCAGCAAGCACTCCTCCACACCCAGCACAGACACATACCTCTCTACCAGTCATTGCCCTCTTCTGCCCCTGTGGTTGATCTTTCAGACACCTGGTGTTACCACAAAGGCAGTAACCACTAATTTATGTAAGATAAATTCTAGCCAAAATAAGCAGGTTATGAGAGGCAACAAAGGGCCAGGCAGTTTATTTGAGTGCAATTCCCAGACAATGTTTCCCAGTCTATGGAAATGGAGGCTGGGGAAGTCGCACTCAGCAGGGCAGGCAGCGAGTTTTTAAAGAAGGTAGGGGGAGGCAGAGCATAGGTTTACAGCGGCATGAGGATTGGCTAGCCTAAGGCACATTTTTCAGGTTAGGAGGGGGCAGCAGCCGGGGACTTTGGCACGTCATCAGTGTCTGACGTGCTCACTCCTCCCTCTGGTGCCTCCAACCTTACAATTTACAGATTAAAGGGTGTGTAATGTTGCCATCCATTAACTGACCCAATCCCAATCTGTTTTGTCTAACAGGTCTGTGTCAGTTATGCAAATGTCCACTGGAGTGTACACTACTTCTTTCCAGTTTATTGAGAATGACCTCCCACTACCCCAACCCTATGAATCAGGGATACTAAAGGCAACCCAAGTCAGCCCTCCTAATCCACCCAAATGTTCCACTTACCTTAAGCATTTCATATCACAAATCTCAAAAACAAAACATAACAGAGGAATCATATTTAATGGGCTGAGTGGCCAAAGCAAGTACCTACCTTAGTCCAATGGCGTATAATTTCTTAATCTAAGAATTCCCAACCTCAGATGATGTGATAGACACCATATGCACCATGATTTGTGCGTGCTACCCGTGCGCACACACTCACACACACTCCCCACTCCTGTCAAGGATCTTGAGGAAAAGATGAGGAAGCAGAGATCAATCTCAGGTCAGTTACCAGATGAGAAATGATATGACAAATTCAATAGTCCTGTTTGACCATCAGAGCTCAGCCCTTTCAATAATAGCTCTTGTCTCTCTGCTGCTGTGTATTATAGAAGGACAGTTCTTCTATGAGTTTGTTAATTCAAAAGCAGGTTTACTTGTCAATGATGAATCAACAGAGTAAATTCTTAACTGTGTGCCTTAAGATTCAGACAGACCACACAGCCACCCACCAAGAGTGGGTGACATCAGGAAATCAGTGTACCTGTTACTCCACTCAACGTGTGCATAAGGGGAGTTAGGAAGAGCAAACTCCTAATAGACAGCTCAGATGACTGATACTTATTATTAAGGAAATACAAATGGTTTTTTCTCTCAATAGCCATTTCAGTGTGATGCTCACAAGACCATTCATGTATTTAATATAATTGTCTTTCCATAGTCTGTGAGCACAAGCTATATCACCTGGTTTTGTAGATATTATTACAAAGTCAAAATTCCTGTACAAACTTGCCTGTTTCACTTTATGGTAGTAATTAAATTTTGTTTGCCATCACTTTTTAATTTCTACAGGGTTGGTTAATTTCCCTCTCTGGACACTACCCCAAAAATCTCTGAAACTACCCTGGCTGCCCATCAACTAAGACTTTCCAGACCTTTCTTGCATTTCTTGCCTGGAGATTAGCAGTAGCTACCCTCAGTGGAGACCTTGTTAATTTTGGAGAAAGAAAGTACAAAATCCTGAAATCTAATCCCTGTCTGCATTTTAAATTATTCCCTTAGCAACAAACAACTAATATTAAAGGCCATGTGATTTTTACTAGCATAGCAGTAGAACTTCAAAGTCAGTACTTCAGCTATGTATGTGAACTAACCTATATTCACCAAGATTGTTATAATGGTGGGTGTTCCCTGCAATGCATGGTGACCTCCAGTGTAAGTACTTTTCAGGTGTTGTGAAACAGATAAAATACAAAAACTGGCTCCTCTAAATTGGTAGACAACTATAATGTGTCCAAATCTACATATAGCCAAATATAGGTCCATTTCTGGTTGATTTTTTTCTACATTAACAACTATAGTATAGAAAATTTTATTAACACTCTGGCAAAATGTCCCTTAGCTCTTAGTCAGAAAAAAAAAGCAATCCAATAAAATAAAATTCATTCATTTCACTGTTATTACCTGCGTTGCCCTATGGGATGTAATATCTATTCTGTATTTTTTTAAATGTAGAAACAGAAAGGAACTGTTGGATCCCCCTGAGGAAGGCGCCGCCCCAAATCACTCACCAAAGACGTTTCTAGAGGCAACAAGCAAGAGGAATTTATTCAGAAGCCAACTAGTTGGGGTCCAAGTCAGCCCGTCGCAGCGGGTCTCAACGAGGACCCTGAGCACTTACAACTAAGTGGTTATATAGGATTTTCTGAGGCATTCAGCCCTAGAGGATTACCATGGTTACAGATTGTGTTGTAGTAACAAGACAACAATACTACATAGCAAGATAACAATACTACAGAGGCAGTAATTTTTCAAACCTACGATTTCTGGGTTAGTGCCACGTCCTGGGGGTGTAGCAAGGTAGGGTCAGCTTTTATGCTTAACTAACCGAAAGGTTAGCGCTGCCAGCAGTCATGATTGATTAACTTGTTTTTCCAGAGGAGTTACCTGGTTTCAGTTGTTCCCTCTGAGTCATATGTCAGAATGGTTTTCAGGCTTCAAGATGGCTACTCTTAGGCTAACTTATTTCTCAGGGAGGTTGGGGTCCTACATTCCCCACTTCTTTTTCTGAACATTCTAATCATGGAATGTTGGTGTCTTCTTGATGTGTGAGGGTATGATACTGTTGTCTCAGCATTAGCACCTGCACAGCACTTACTCTTTCTCTAATAAAGGTTATTACTCGATTTAAAATGCAGGGACCTAAGGTGAGGAGCAATATAAAAATAAGCAGGGGTCCTGCCAAGGTGGATATTAGAGTTGTAAGCCATGGGGATCTAGAGAACCAGGATTCAAACAGGCTCTGGTTAGCTTCTCGTTCTCGCTTTCGCTGATCTAATCTTTCTCTCAGTTTAGACATTGAGTCTCTTACTACTCCAGTATGGTCTGCATAGAAGCAACATTCTTCTTTTAGAGCTGCACATAATCCACCTTCTTTTAGAAATAGTAAATCTAACCCTCGTCTATTTTGCAGCACTACTTCAGAGAGGGAGGTTAGGGACTCTTCAAGTTTAGAAATAGACTGTTCTATAGTTCTCAAATCTTCATCGATAGCTATTCTTAGTCCTTCATAATGTTGGTTTTCTTGTATAATTGCAGCCGCCCCTGTTCCTACTCCGGCTGCGACTCCTACTCCTAGTAATACAGCTAGAGTGAGTGAGACTGGCTCTCTCTTATACCTTAGTCTAGGTTCTAATTCTGCTACGAATGAGAAGTCATCATGATACATTAGTCTGGGTACTAACTGGACCATTATACAGAATTCGTGGGAGAAATTGAAGACAGAGGTGGAAACACATGGAGTTAGTCCAGTATTACAGGCCCACCATCCTTCAGGTGGTGGGACTAAATACCTGTTTTCTCTTGTGGGGATCATGGGGATGGTCTCATTACATAAATTTTTATGCGTGGCGGGAACCGTACCTAGACACTTTCCTATTCCAGACACTTCGGTTAGTGTTAGCTTTTTATGACTGCCCCAACTACAAATTTCGTGGCTGGTTGTATTCTTAAAATCAGCTGACAATCCCAGCCCTTCATAATAAGGTGGTCTAGAAGAAAAACATAACCAACAGGACTCTGTAGTTTTAGGGTCGGTGGCATTTAGGACTCTGAAAGCTCCCTCAACAAGGTTGAGGAGGCGCTGTCCATTGCTAGAAAAGGAGGTCAGTGGGCTAGGAGCAAAGACGGGGACAGCTGAAATAGTTAGGGTTCTTTTCGGGGCTGGGGTTGGGAGGCGAGGCTGATCTGGTAAGACAGCGTTTGGTCCTACTGGAATAGCTGGGAGGGTTTCTACTTTGAGTCTAAGAGTGAATACAACTCCATTATCATATCCTTCCTGATAGAGTCTTAATCCCCACATGAGCCCTCTTTCCCAATTTGCCCCCTTTCCGGCTTCAGTAAAGGAAATATCAATAAGATTACAGGTAGAGCTGGTCATACATTGGGCCTGAGTACTGTTTCTTTTAACTCTTATAAGACTTGGAGGGGAGCTCCCGGCATTTCTGCCTATCCAATGACATGTCCCTGTTTGTTCACAGCCCCAATTTTTGCAGAAAAAGTCTGCCTGCCCACCACACTGTGAGGCTTTAGCACGATCGGTTGAGGGGGCTGGGCACACATAGAAGCAGGTATCTTGGAGTTTTTTCATAGAAGCCCGAGATCCACATCCTGGCCTTCCTATTCTACCTCCGTGCCGAGGGTCTTGTTTGAAGAGAGTACATATGTCTACAGTGAGGGTAGGCCACCAAGTCCCCCTAGGATGCTGTTCTGTTAACTGGACTACTACTTGGTGGGAAGCTGGGGTAATGATTTGCCATGTCAGTAACCTGGGTTCATGGGGGTTAGGGTTCTGGTGGGTTGGAAGTAGCAGGAGCATCAGAATTACTAACAGCATAATTCTTTTTACACAAGCGAAGCTTAAGGGGGTTATCAGTCCGAGTTACTCGCCAGTCCGGGTCCGGGGGTGCCTTCTTTAGATGTGAAGCGTGTATCCAGGAAGAGACGCCGTCCACTTTTACAGCTGTGGGAGTAGTCAGGAGGACGATGAAAGGTCCCTTCCACCGTGGCTCGAGGTTTCCTGTCCGGTGCCTTCTCACGTAGACTGGGTCTCCCACCTGGAACTGGTGAGGCACCGAGAGGTCTTCTGGCTGATAGGCTTCCTTGATGGAGGCCCACACCTCTTTCTGCACAGCCTCCAAGGCTCGTAACCTTTCAAGCAAAAACTTATTAGTTGCACACTCAGGGAATGTATGAAGATGTGCTGACTGAAGCGGGGCCGGGGCCCCAAACATTATTTCAAAAGGCGTTAGTCCAAAGCGGCTGGGAGTGTTCCTAACTCTAAACAGGGCAAAGGGAAGGAGGACTAACCAATCACATAAGCCAGTCTCTATGGACAATTTAGTCAAGGTCTCTTTTAGAGTTCTGTTCATCCTTTCTACCTGTCCTGAGCTCTGGGGCCTGTATGCACAATGCAATTTCCAATCCGTCCCCAGGATCTTGGCCAATCCCTGACTTACCTGGGCAACAAAAGCAGGGCCGTTGTCGGAGCCGATTACCTTTGGAATCCCAAACCTGGGAAATATTTCTTCAAGGATTTTTTTAGACACCGTCTGAGCTGTTTCAGTTTTGGTGGGGAACGCCTCTGTCCATCCTGAAAATGTGTCTAGAAAAACTAGAAGGTACTTGTATCTATACTTAGCAGGCTTAATTTCAGTGAAGTCAACTTCCCAATAAGTTCCTGGGCGATCTCCTCGAAGTCTTTTCCCGGATATTGCTTGATTTTTGCTCACGTTTACTAATTGACAGGGAACACAATTTTTTACAATCTCGTCAGCTAATTTTCCTAATCCAATAATATGATAAGGGGAGTCTCGAACTAAAGTCTTTAGGTTTTTTGCTCCCAAATGTGTCAGTTGATGTAATTGCCTTAAGTATTCTTCTGCCTCTTTCCGGGGCAGGACAACTTTCCCTTTTTCAGACTTGTATATCTCTTGGGGTGAGGAATTTTTGAACCCTAATTTGTTTATACAAACGAGATCTTCAGGTGTGTACTGGAAGCTCTCGATGTGAGTGGCTTCCGGACACACTTGAAGGGGCAAAATGTTCATTCCCTGAGCCGCTTGCTTTGCGGCTTGGTCTGCTCTCCGATTTCCTCGAGCTATTGGAGAGTCATCTTTCTGGTGTCCAGGGCAATGCATTATTGCTACTTCTTTAGGCCTATGGATGGCTTCCAGCAAATCTAAAATTTCTTGTTTGTTTTTAACATCTTTCCCGGCAGAAGTTAACAGCCCTCTCTGTCTATAAATAGCCCCGTGTATATGAGCAGTGGCAAAGGCGTATCTGCTGTCAGTGTAGACGTTAAGTCTCTTACCTTCTGCCATCTTTAGGGCCTGAGTCAGGGCGATGAGTTCTGCTCGCTGTGCAGAGGTGCCCGTTGGGAGTCCACTGGCCCATACAACTCGGTCATCATCTACTACTGCAGCTCCGGCCATTCTCTTACCATCCATGATGTAACTGCTCCCGTCTGTATACCAAGTCAGGAGTCTCGTTCCCCCTAAGGGCTGATCTTGCAAGTCCTGGCGGGTTCCTGTCTCTTCAGCCAGGATTTCCTGGCAGGTGTGAAGCACTTCTTTCTCCAAATCGGGGAGCAGAGTGGCCGGGTTTAGGATGGCAGGGGGGGCAAACTCTACTCGATCACGATTCAGGAGTAAGGTTTGGTAGTGAGTCATTCTGGCATTCGACATCCATCTCTCGGGTGGTTGCCGAATTACACTCTCCAACGCATGTGGAGCAACTACAGTAAGTTTCTGTCCCAGTGTCAGTTTGTCAGAATCTTTAACTAGGAGGGCCACAGCCGCTACTACTCTCAAACAGGCAGGCCATCCACTACTTACTGGGTCTAATTTTTTTGACAAATAGGCGACAGGTCTCTTCCAAGGTCCCCATTGCTGGGTCAACACTCCCCGAGCCACTCCACTCCGCTCATCCACAAAAAGGACGAATGGCTTAGTTACGTCTGGCAGGGCCAGAGCGGGTGCCGACAGGAGGGCTTTCTTGATTTCATCAAAGGCCTGTTGCTGTTCAGGTCCCCAAACAAACGGGGCTGCCTCTTTGGTTAGGGGGTACAGGGGGGCGGCTAAGGTGGCATATCCGGGTATCCACAATCTGCAGAACCCTGCTGTTCCCAGAAATTCGCGGACTTGGCGCGGAGTAGTAGGGACCGGGATCTGCGTCACAGTCTGCTTCCGGGCTTCAGTAAGCCACCTCTTCCCTTCTCTCAGGGAATACCCTAAATAAGTCACTTGTGGTTGGCAGATCTGTGCCTTTTTGGCAGATGCTCTATACCCCAGCCTAGTAAGTTCAGTCAAAAGGGCTTCAGTAGCCGCTTGGCAGACTTCCTGTGTAGGAGCGGCTATCAGTAAGTCATCAACATATTGTAACAAGGTTACCTGCGGGTTGGAGGCTCGGTAAAAGGCCAAGTCCTGGTGTAAAGCCTCGTCGAAGAGGGTAGGTGAGTTCTTGAATCCTTGTGGCAAGCGAGTCCAGGTCAATTGTCCAGTAGTTCCTGTGGAGGGGTCTTTCCACTCAAAAGCAAACAGCGGTTGGCTACTCTGGTGCAGGCGCAAACAAAAGAAGGCATCTTTTAAATCTAAGACTGTATACCAAGTATTTTCTGGGGCCAGAGAGCTTAGCAGGTTGTAAGGATTCGGCACAGTGGGATGAATGTCCTGTGTTCTCTTATTAACTTCTCTCAAATCTTGCACTGGTCGATAATCTCCTGTTCCCGCTTTCTTTACAGGCAGCAAGGGAGTGTTCCATGGGGATTTACATTTTACTAATATCCCCTGTTCTATGAGCCTCTGGATATGGGGCCTAATCCCATCTCTGGCTTCTTTACTCATTGGATATTGTCTCACAGTTACTGGTGAGGCTGAGGCTTTTAATTCTATGACCACCGGGGGTTGGTTTACAGCGAGTCCCATACCTGCCGTCTCTGCCCAGGCCCCTGGAAACTGGTTGAGCCACCTCTGATTAACTCGGGAGGGTTCTGGTTCCTTAAAAAGGCGGTACTCGTCTTCTAACTTTATAGACAGAATGCTTAGGCCCAAGGGTCTCTTTTTGCTATCAGACACTTGGGTATCTTCAGTCTGAAAGGATATTCGGGCCCCGACTTTGGTCAAGATGTCTCTTCCCAACAAGGGTGTAGGGCATTCCGGTATAACAAGGAATGAGTGGTTTACTTGTCCCACTCCTAAGTCTACTGTTCTTTGGGTAGTCCATGCATATTGTTTCTGACCCGTGGCCCCAAACACCCAAGACTTTTTACTAGAAAGGGGGCCTCTAGCTTGGGTCAGTACTGAATGTTGAGCACCGGTATCTACCAGAAACTCAACGGGTTGCCCCTCCACCTTCAGAGTTACCCTAGGCTCGGGGAGGGGTTCCGAGCCCCGTCTTTCCTAGTCCTCATCTTCTAGCAGGGACAACACTTTCTTCGGAGGTCCCCGTGGTGGTTTCTTAGGGCAATCTTTCACCCAATGCCCCTTTTCCTTGCAGTACGCACACTGATCTTTATCCAAAGGAGGTCGGTTGCCCAGGGACCCTGCCTTACTAGTTCTACCACTAGAGGGCGGCCGTCCCTTACTTTCTACTACTGCGGCCAAGATTTTTGTTAAATTTCTCTCATGCTTCCTATCTCTCTTTTCTTCTTTACTTTCTCTCTCCTTCTCTTTCCTTAACTCCTTCTCTTCTTCAGTCTCTCTCTTATGATAAACTTTCTCTGCTTCTTTCACTAAATCTCTCAGCGACAAATCCTGTAAGCCCTCCAATCTCTGAAGCTTTTTCTTAATGTCGGGTGCCGATTGCCCGATAAAGGCAAGGGCCACTGAAGCACTATGCCCCTCAGAAGTGGGATCAAAGGGGGTATACCGCCTGAAGGCTTCTATCAGGCGCTCTAAGAATACTGCAGGTGCTTCAGTGGCTCCCTGGCTGACCTCTCTTACCTTGGCCAAATTGGTGGGGCGTCTTGCGGCCCCACGGAGACCTGCCACCAGAGCCTGACGATAGATGGTTAGTCGCTCCCTACCTTCTGGAGAATTAAAGTCCCAGTTGGGTCTAGTCAACGGGAACCCCCTCTCTATGTCATGAGGGAGTTGCGAAGGCCGTCCGTCGGTTCCAGGCACATTCCTCCGTGCCTCCAGGAGAATCCTCTCTCTCTCTTCCGTGGTAAAGAGCACCTGCAAAAGCTGCTGACAGTCATCCCAGGTGGGCTGGTGGGAAAACATCAGAGACTCTACTAAACCAGTTAGTTTCTGTGGCTCCTCTGAAAAGGGCGGGTGGTTAGCTTTCCAATTATACAAATCAGCAGAGGAGAAGGGCCAATATTGCAGGGGTTGGAAAGGTGGTTCCCCTTCTTCTCCAAGGATGGGAACTCCATAAGACCGGAGAGGAAAGATACCCGGTGGGTCCAAGATGGCCCCTCGGCGGCGCCGGGTGCCCTGGGCAGGTCCCGGAGCCTGCCCTACTGCCTCAGCATCAGGGACTGAGGGTGCCGGAGCTGGGGGTGCTGAGGGTGCTGAGGGTGCTGGGGGTGGGGGCACCGGAGGTGCCGTAGGGGCAGGAGGGTAAGGAGGGGGAGGGGGATCATCAATTATAAGCGAATCCTGAGTATCAGGGTAAACTTTGGTAGTTTCCTTTTCCTTTTTCTGAGGTTGAGTCTGGGCAGCTAAAACTCGAGGGCCCATTTTCTTTTGCACCCAGGGCTTTACCCAGGGTGGTGGGTTCTCCACCAACTCTTGCCAGACTACAATGTAGGGTTGCTGATCCGGGTGTCCTTGAGACGAATCCTGAAAGACAACAGCTTTTACTGCTAATAAGGTGGGGAGATCAAAAGTCCCCTCCGAGGGCCACCCAACATTGTAGGTGGGCCATTCGGAGGTACAGAAAGTCTGCCATGGTCCCTTTTTCACTTCTACTGACAAGTTATGTGCCCTCGCTCTAACTTCCGTCCAATGATCTAGCGTCAGGCTAAGGGGAGTCGTCACTGTCTGTCCCATTGTCAGTATAACAATAATTAGACACGTAAAGGACACAAAAAACAAAGACACACACAGATTAGACACACAGCGGCCGCTTTTGGTTCTTTTCAGAGCCTCGAACAGAAACCGAAAGGAATCAGAGGGTTGATATTCTCGGCGCCCAAAAATCAACCCTATCTCATCAGGTTCAGTTTGCCGGAAAAACAGACGGGAGGCTACCAGGCGTCCCTGGCCTCCCAACCTCCCTGGGGCGTCCCCCAGGGTTGCAGCCTGCGGTGCTCTAGTACGTCTACCGACCGCAGTCACAGCCCCTTTACGGGATTGAGACGGCTGCCAGACAGCGGGTACCCTTCAGAACTCCGACCGGTCTCACTGAAACAGAAAACAGAACACATACAACTCAAGGCGCCACTAATCTTACCTCTTCCTCCAAGAGCGACTTCGGGAGTGAAGCGGGGTGGACGCCCGATCCCGGACGAGCCCCCAAATGTTGGATTCCCCTGAGGAAGGCGCCGCCCCAAATCACTCACCAAAGACGTTTCTTGATGCAACAAGCAAGAGGAATTTATTCAGAAGCCAACTAGTTGGGGTCCAAGTCAGCCCGTCGCAGCGGGTCTCAACGAGGACCCTGAGCACTTACAACTAAGTGGTTATATAGGATTTTCTGAGGCATTCAGCCCTAGAGGATTACCATGGTTACAGATTGTGTTGTAGTAACAAGATAACAATACTACATAGCAAGATAACAATACTACAGAGGCAGTAATTTTTCAAACCTACGATTTCTGGGTTAGTGCCACGTCCTGGGGGTGTAGCAAGGTAGGGTCAGCTTTTATGCTTAACTAACCGAAAGGTTAGCGCTGCCAGCAGTCATGATTGATTAACTTGTTTTTCCAGAGGAGTTACCTGGTTTCAGTTGTTCCCTCTGAGTCATATGTCAGAATGGTTTTCAGGCTTCAAGATGGCTACTCTTAGGCTAACTTATTTCTCAGGGAGGTTGGGGTCCTACAGAACCAAACCTGCTGTCCTCTGCTTTCCTTTGGGATTATTAGCCCAGGCAAGGTGACCAGTGATGAAGGGGGGTCCTGGTTTCCTTTGACTTTCCCTTTGTCCTAAATAGGACATTTTATTGAAGACTTCTTAATTTTTTCTACCTATTAAGTATGTTATGACTGTAGTCATTATTTGTTACTTCATCCACAGGTTACAGACAAACCCTTTTCTTAATAAAGAATCTTTATTTGTTTAGCTAAGCTTTTGAGTTGATTTATGTTAAATCATACCAAAAGTTGTTAATTTTTAAGGTGGTCTCAAGTAATTGACTATTATGAGATAGAACAACCTTAGCATTTTAATCAAGCAAGGTCATGGTTGGAAAAGCTGCTGTTTTCTGACAAGAGTCTATGGGAGTCTGAATTTATTGGCACATTTTCAGCAGATTAAATTTAGTCAGGGGCTGAAAGTCTGACCATTCACAAACAGTTGGAAAAGTTAAAGGTGAGAAGATGCTCGCCTCAGCTGTGCTCTTCCTAGGTCTCATAACTAACTGAATTATTAATCTTGGGAAAGTATTACATGCTTATTAAAGTTTTTTATATAATTAATTTAGAATTATTTCACTGTCTATCTAGATCTGCCTTGGGTGAATCTTGGCTTCAGGGCTTATAAAACCTGCTGAGCTCTGCTTTTCTTTGTGGTTCTTAGCCCAGGCAATTTAGCACAGCCAGAGGTTTTAGGATAAACTAAATCACCTTCTTAGGCTTACAAAAGCAGTCCATGCCAACGAGGTCTCCTGCTCCTGAAGGCTCCAACTGAAACAAAGTTCTGAAGAGCAGAGTCCCTAACAGATGCTTACAGGTGCCAATGAGCAAAGTAAATGGGTGAATCTGACTGTTGAAGGACTGTAGTGGGAGGTACGCTGGGGGTTTGCTCCACATCCACCTACTTCTTGGCTCCCACCAAGCCAGCTCTTAGGTTGTCAAATCGTCCTATATTTCAAGAGAAACTGATTTATTTGTAAGTTTGTTTATTGTAGAGATGCCAGATAAACAAAATGGGGTTGATAAGACCATCAACTCATGACACATTATCTTCACTTGTTCTTTATTTTGTTTAGTTTTATCCCTTTCATCCAATATAATCCGATTTGTCTCTCCATCCAGAGGCTCCCCCCCTAAAGTATTTAATATTTGTACTTTCAATCCACCTTCAATATTTTTATTTATATATAGTATGCATGAGAATGTTTTGAAAAGATGGACATTATTGTTTGTGTCCCTTTAATTCTCATAAATAGTGTAGGACAACAAAAATTATACTTTAGGGACCTATCTATGTGCTGAATGTCTATTTAGTTCATTCTTTGTGACTACTGTGTAGGACACATTTAACTTAATTATTCCCTGCTTCTTTTCTACAAATAATGCTGTCAACGGATACCTCCTGGTACACCCTCATGAGTTTTCCCTAAGTATTTATTGTCTGTACAGTAATTATTTAATTTCACTAAGTATTCTTTGCAAAGTGACCATGGCAGTACACACCCCACCAGCCAGTGCCTGAAGTTTACCATCCCCCACATACTCACCAGCATTTGTATCCAACTCTCTATTTGCTTGCTCTTTTGAAAATGGTATCGCAGACTTTTAATTTGTATTTCACTGATCATTGTGGAGTTAAACACCTCTTCTCTGTATAGTTTTAATCATTAAGATATCAGTTAATCACAATCTGTTGCCATTTTTGTTTTTTTTTTCTTTTTCTTGCTTGTTTATAGGAATTTATCCTGTTAATCTAATTTTAATTATTTGTTGGTCATAAATATTCTATAGATCTTCTCCCAAATTATCATTTAGCCCTAAATTTTGTCTATGGTATCCTTTATTATCTTTCATTAAGCACTTCCTAGAAAGCTCAAGTGCACAGCTTTTGAGATTCCATTGCAGATGGGAGTGGCCAGGTAGCCATTAATTTTGAAGTAATAAAATACAGTCATTTTTCTCTTTATAGTTTATGTCTTGAATTTTAAAATATTTATACATCACAAATCTCAAAGAAACCTTTTTGTATTTTTTTCTTTTAGCCTCACAGTTTTACTTTTCTTTTAACCTATTTATTGGTACACCTTAATTTTTTTACCTATTCTATATACTTTCCCATTTTCCCAACACTTTTTATTAAACAACTCATCTCTTTTCCAAATATCAAATATCAAGTTTATTTATGTGTATTGGTGCTGTGATTTCTATTGCTTTGAATAATGTCTTAAGAGTAGGTAAAATTTTTATCCCCTTATTGTTTCTCATTTTCTAAATTAGCTTAGCTATTTATAGACCTTCTCATTTATATAAATTTAGTGATCAGCCTATGGAGATACTTACTCAAAAAGCTGGGATTTTAATTAAATGGCCTTGAGTACTTAAAATATCAAATTGTCCCATCCATACTCATGATTTAGTTCTAAATTTTTTCAAATTTATTTCATATTATTTGCTCATAAAGGCATGATCCATTTAAGTTAATACCTAAATACAATGTAGATTTTACTATGGCAAATATTGAGATTAATCTTCAAAAGCATTTGAAACCACTTTTTCTCTCACCTCTACTAGAGACTTATCTACCTTCCAGTGTGATGTAGGGGCTCTGCCCAGCTCTGGCCAAAGAGAGAAAATCCCTGTGAAGGGCTTTCTGTCCCACCCCACCTCCCCAAAAAGCAAAGTCTGAAGAGAAGGCACCAAGTTTATATCTACCTGAGGCATTAAAGACCTATTATCAGTAAACTTTATGATTTTATTTAATATGTTTGGACTATAGTGATGTACTCAGCAAAATGCTGACACGGAGATTTCTTCAAACCAGTTTCTTCAACAGAAGAAATGTATGTTTGTCTTGGAAGTTTATATAATGAAAAGTTTACTTAAGAAAGAGAACTTATTTTTTCATGTTACTTGTATTTTGTGAATTACCTCTATTCTTTCAAGGGTCAGTTTTTGTTTGATAATTATGGTTCTTCATTACCAAGATGTTAATCCTCCTCAAAAGTGTCTGATCATCTTTGATTATCTGCTCATGGTATTATTTAGTGATTAAGTTGATAACCATATGAATATATCATGAATTTCCTCTGCTGTTGATAGATTTGTTTGTCCCATGAATATTCATCTTAATGTATTACTTTTCTGGAAAGAAATAGCTGTATTTAATTCCACCCCCTTCCCACTGTGGATGTCTAGAATTACTGTGCTTCTGTTTTACTCAAAGTCTATTGCAGGAACCCTTACTAAGCACTTTTTTAAAGAAGCAGTTATTGAGTTTTAACCTGGTGGAATAAAAAATGACTGACGTTTGCAGTCATCATGTAAAAGCATCTTTAATTAAGAATTCTAATTTATGGCCCGATGCTGTTCCTATTTTTAGTACTGGCTCTCTAATAACTTGGAACATCTCTAAATCTCTTTCAGAAACTGGCTCCCTGCACCACTGAACATATTTCTCTGTTTTCTAGGCTGAGGCTTTCTCTGCTGTACTTTGCCAAAAAGAGCCCAGATGCTTTTCTAAATCCCAGAAATCCATATAATTCCAACAAATTCAACCTTTTGGTACTTCTTTCTAGTCATTTCAAGAGAAGGTAACATGTGCTCTGGATCCATGAAATTGAACCAGAAGCCTTATAATTATAGTTAGATACAGCATCAAGAAATTAGTCCTGAGAGAGAGAGAGTCCTTAGATATCCTAGACATGCGCTCATCAGGGGGAGAAGGGGAGAAGGAGGGGACAGGAGGGGAGGATGTAATTGTCAATAAGGATATGAGAACCAAAAAGGGCTCTCATCCTTCTCAGCACAGTGCTGATGAAGAATCCTCATGGTGATTTCTTAAAATAAGGTCCCTTTTTTAACTCCCACCTTATTGATTGCACTATCCCCATGAAGCGATACCTGTCTTTAGGTAACACTTATACATGCAGTGCCAGAAAACTTGGGCAAATGAGTGGTTTGCACTGAGGGTGTTATAAAAAAAAGCCTTATTGGTCCAGGAAAGGTAAATTCACATCATACAGAGCAGTGATGCCTCTACAAAGAGAGTGTGAAGGGCAAGGAGGAAGTTGGAGGTTTTCCCTTTATAGAGTCTGTAAAAATAAAGATGATTTTATTAGGTAGTCTGGCTCTGGTTGAAATGAAGGAAACCCACATTGAATAGGCTTATACAAAAGGTGAAGCTGAGAGGAAGGACATAGTGCCTCATGGCAGAAACAAGGAGTGAGCAAAGCCAGGACACAGCCGGGCCCCAGACCTAGAAGAGTCTGAGACTCCAAACCAGCAGTTTTACCACCACCCACCTCCAGTTCCCATGAAATTCTGCCTTTTTTCCCCCCTCATACTGATCAGTTTTCTCCACATGATGGAAATCACAGATGGTATGCATTTCAAGCTTTACTATTTGTAAATTGAATCAGCTCCAAAAAGAGGCAAGGTCTGTCTCCAAAGCCTGGATCAGCACTGTGGCCTGGATCTTTTT